GGCAAACACCACCATGGCCAAATGTTATTTGGGTTTTTGAGAGAAATTCTCCTCATGTAGTTCCCTTAAACTCAGCAGTCCCTTTTCCTGGGTCTCCCAAGTGCTAAAATGTAGAATTGTTTGCCACTTTAAACAGTGCCAGTGGTGGGAGTTTGTTGTTGGGTAAAGCAGAGTTTGGCCTCTGCTCTATATTATAGTAGCCAAGTGTGCCCAGGCAGTTGGTTATTACTCATCCTTCTCCCTAGTGGTGCCTGGGAAAATTATGTGGATCCTATAGAACTGTATGTGAGACAAAAGCGACTGCCGAACTCTACGCCCTGGTCTAGCTTGCTAGAAGCTGCCGTGGATGGTGTGCGAGTTTGAGTTTGTTCTGGGGAATCTGGTGAAACCCTGTCTCAAAATGCAAAGGACTGAAGGGGTTCAGTGATAGAGGTCAATAAGTGCACCTTAAACTAAGAAGCTGTGCCAAAAAGAGCTCCCAACTTTGGAATTATTTCCCAGAAAGAGCCAGGAGCCAGAAGAGAAGTACCTGCTAACTAATCCTTTTCCCAATTTGACTTTCCTGTTTCACTTGGAAAAGGAAGGTTAGTTTGGCCTCACAAGGTACTGGTACATGCCTGGAATCCCATCACTGGGAGGCCCAGGCAGGATTATTGCGGGTTCAAGAGCAACTCGGGTTCAAGTTAAGTTCAAGGCCAGCCTGAGCAGCCCAGTGAGACTCTGCATGGAAAAAGATCAAAAGGAACAAAGCAAACGATAGTTCTGCAGATGTGCTTACAGTTGAAATTTGGGATGTGCATCAGAGCTACTGTTAGCAGTTGACGGGTCCCCCAGGGTATTTCCCCCACAGCCCCTTCGTGGTGTTCTGAAGAAAAAACTGGGCAAGACACACAGAAAAGGTAGAGGGGTTGTGCTTTATTTTTTTGTTGATATTTCCCAGACAGGTGTTCAACATGAAGTTCAGTGAACAGGGCCATAGGTCAATAGAAGAAGTGCTTGCCTGGCAAGCATGGCATCCCCGGTACTGCATTTAAAAAATAAAAACACGAATTTATTGTCCAGGCTGACCGTGAACTTGCTGTGCAGCCCAGGCTGGCTCTGGACTCACAGTGATCCCGCCTCAGCCTCCAGCGTGCGTTTCCACCCCGCCTACTCAGACTTTCTGCCCACCTAGAGTGGAAACTCAGACAACTCAACAGAAAGTCAAGCTGGCATGACCTGATGACGTTTACATGTTCCTAAGAGTACACGTCCTGAAGTTCAGGTGATTCACCAGAAACAATGAGACACAAGTGTCCGTGTCCTGGGACAGGCGTGTTTCCTTGCAGGCGTGAAGGCTGTTGGTGCCCGGTCTCCTCTGCTGTCTCTGGCTCAGTGAAGCCTCAGGTTGGCTGAGCAGAGTGGTCACTCAGGCCCTGCCCTGGACGAGGGGACAAGGGCCCGCTGACTGGAAAAGGAGTGGGCAATACGTGTCGCCCCTCCCCTCTCTCCCTTTTCACCCCACCACCACACCTACACCACCCCACCCCCGCACCCCAGGAGGAGAGCTCTGGGGCTACACACCCCAAGAGCAAGGAGCAGCAGGAGGGGTGGTGGCCTCGTCAAAACGTGCGGCACTTGCTGTGTTTAGGTCCCTCGCGGAGCGCCAACGTCCGCGGGCTGCGTTAACGCTAGAGATGAGGCTGAGGCTCTGAGTGAGGTTGACGCATCTGTATGGTAGGCAGCTGGGCTTGGGAGTCCGGACGGGAGCGGGAAGCTGGGAGCGAGGCTTGGGCTCGATTGAGAGCTTGCCTCAAAATACAAAATAAGGTAGGAGTAGAGATGTAGCTCAGTGCGGAGTCCGGGGTTTCAGTCCACTGTGTTGCGAAAGTAAGCAAAGAATTTCACAGCTTTGCTCACTTCCCTGGGAATTCTTTAAGCCTGTGAGGACGGAACGAGAGTAATAAATGATGTTTACATCATAGAAGAATTTCAAGACTACATATAGCACAGGGTACATAGGGTCTCGCTACACAGCTCGGACTCATAGCGATTGTCCTGTTTTTAGCCTCCCAAGTATTGGGATTACAGCCATGGGACACCACGCTCAGTCTCAGTCACTGTCTCAGCACAGCCCGAGGGTGAGCATGGCATGGCATGGCACGGCACGGCAAGGCCCGGCCCGGCCCAGCATGCTTGGCATGGCGGGGCGATCGAAAACCCAGTTCCTTTGTCTGCCTAAGCAGGCACTTTAATCCACTGAGCTGTGTGGCTGGCTTAAAATAGTATAGCATTGAAAGCCTCAGAAACCTGAAATTTCTTACTGGCTTGTTGGATTTCAATTTCTGCAAGGCTTTAGTAGACAGTGCCACTTATAAAACACAAGGTCATTCCTGTATGAATGAAG